TTGAAATGAAATACAAATATACGAATAGCGCCATCTGTAGAAGGTAAATTTGATATTATCTACCAATCACGTTACGAAGGTTCGGAAGGTTGCGATTGTTGCAAATAAATCGCTAAGCGTGAGGTATCATGAGGTTTGACATATGGCATGATTCGTTGTACGACGCTTCGAATAAAGAAAACATGAATTCAATAATGTTCCTAAAGATATAATCGTGTAATAAATGTAAAGGTAAACTCTTGACTTTATATTAACTCCTTGATGTTTTTAAGTAAGATATTATGATTTAACCTATAACCGAATTTGCTTTTCTTTTACAATATATATAATCAATTTGTTTCTTAATAATAAGCTTCAGAATTGTGTTAAATTTCTTGTTACATATTTTTTTTATGTAATATAAATTTTTTATGCAAATACATTTATATTAAATTTAATTCATAAAGTTATGATGTTTTATATTATACAAAATGATTTTTATATTTAAGATAAAAATAACTTGAAAATGAAGCTAGTATCAAGGAATGTAGATAAATTTGGAGAAGGGTAAATATATATTTTATATATAGTATAATCTTTATAATATACCAATATAATCTTAAGATTACATATAAAATTTAATGTAATCTTTAGGCGTGTGTCTCTTGTCCCTGAAAATACAGAGGATATGTGGCATGCCTATAATCTCATTAGCGAAGGAGACTTTGTAAGCTGTTCTACTATCAGGTATATTTAAGTTTTATATTTCTTAAATAATAATATTTCATTTAATTTTAATCAATACCATCGTGTCAATTTTATTTTTCACTTTTTTTTTTTAGAAAAGTGCAAATGGAATCAGCAACTGGTAGCTCTAACAGTTATAGAGTCAGAACTACTTTAACGATATGTGTAGAAAATATTGATTTTGATACACAAGCATGTGTTTTACGACTTAAAGGTAGAAACGTGGAAGAAAATAGATATGTTAAAGTAAGTTAAATTATATTATAAATTTTCATCTTTGGTGTATGGTGTAAGGTTAAAATTAAGTTAATAATAAAGTCTCATGTATATAAACATTCTTTAATCTTTATAAGAAATAAAATTTTCTTTTACTAAAGATGATTTCTGTAGGTAAAACGGTGATGTTTTTATGTTTTTGTAATCTATTTTGTATTTGTATTCGAACACAGTCGTAAACATTTTATTAGCAATTTTATTTAGCTTAGCTCTGTTATTTTTGTATTTGCTTTTCAATTGTTTGAGCTTGTAAATTGTTTTAATTTTTTAATTTTAAATGAAAATATTTATTTATATTATTATTTGCATTATTAAAGTATTTGTAATTGTTTCTCTTAAATGCATTTTGACTTATCCAAATGTAATAGTTTCAATGATGGGATCTTATGTTTTATTCTTCTATATATTTATTTGTATGCATATTTAACACTTATTATTGCTTTAAATAGTAAATCAGATAATTATTTATAATTATATTTAATTGCTTTTTTGTTTTATAGACAGGAGCATATCACACATTGGATGTTGAACAAAATCGGAAATTTAGTATCACTAAAGCTAAATGGGATTCTATTTCTTTGGAAAGAGTTGATACTGCTTGCGATCCTGCACAGGTTAATGCTTTTTTAAAACAAAAATTATATATTTGGCTATAATGCTCTCTTTTGTTTTGTTTTAGAATGCTGATGTAGCCGCTGCCATTATGCAAGAAGGCATTGCACAAATTTGTTTGATAACTTCCAACATGACAATAGTCCGTGCAAAAATCGATCAAGTTATACCAAGGAAAAGGAAAGGAAACGTTTCACAACACGAAAAGGTTTGAGAAACGTTATGTCAACATTAAAATTGTTTTGTATGAATGAGCCTAAACAAAATTTTTAATTTGATATATATTTAGGGCTTGACACGTTTTTACGAAAGCATTATGCAAGGCATATTAAGGCACATCAATTTTGACCTAGTGAAATGTGTTATCCTTGCTAGTCCTGGTTTTGTGAAAAATCAATTTATGGACTATATGATACAACAAGCTGTTAAATCTGATAATAAAGTTATTTTAGATAATAAAAGTAAATTTTTGCTAGTTCACGCTAGTTCGGGTTTTAAACATTCATTAAAAGGTACCGTATAGATATATATGAAATCTGAATGAACATAATATTTGAAAAGTGTTATTATCTTTATATTTATTCTAATTCATCGTGTTATAACAGAGGTTCTAGCCGATTCTGCTGTAATTTCTCGAATTTCTGATACCAAAGCAGCAGGAGAAGTAAGGGCTTTAGAAGTATTTTACAATACTCTTCAAATGGATCCTGCTAGAGCATTTTATGGAAAGAAGCATGTTGAAAAAGCTAGTGCTGCTCAAGCAGTAGAAACTCTGCTTATATCAGATAAATTGTTCAGGTGATTTTCGTAAACTTGTTACTTATTGCAATATTAATTTTATAATTAATTTTATTTTATAATATTTTTTTTGTATTTTTTTTTTATCAAATCCACAATGTTCAGATGTCAAGACATAGCACAGAGAAAGGAATACGTTGAGTTAGTTGAAAATGTGAAAGACTCTGGTGGCGACGTCAAAATATTTTCGAGTCTACATGTTTCGGGTGAACGTAAGTCTTGTACATATAAACGATACATGATTCAGCTGAAATTTTTAAAAATGTAAAGTGCTTAATAAAGTGCTTAATAAAAACTTATTTATTGTGTGTCCTAATAAATTTATTTGTATTCAAATAAAATTATGATTTTATTTTCAGAATTAGATCAATTAACTGGGATAGCAGCTTTGTTACGTTTTCCCATGCCGGAACTGGAAGACGAAAGCGAGGATGGTAGTGACTCAGAAGAAGATTAGAATCATGATATGCTAATAATTTTGTATATATTTGTGCTGTGCGCAGTTAAAAATATCATTACTAATAAAAAGAAAATTAATATTTTTATTTATTTCCCAACCGTAAAAATTTTATATTTTAATTTAAATTACGTTACAATTTAAAGTAATTCCATTTTTAAAGATACTTTTTGCTCTAAGATCGCTTTCTATTATATGTGTGAGTATTGAAATGGAAATTATATACATTAATATATATAATGTTTACATATTGTATATATATATATATTATAGAAATTATATTGCTGAAATGAAGACAGTTTAATAAAGCTACTAGTTATATATATATACAGGATCCATTATAAAAGTAATGCGCATTTTCTGGGAAAAATAAATTTATTGATCGTAGCGGTATAAATGCTCAAAATTCTTCAAAATACTCTGCCCCTGAATCAATACATTTGCGGAGACGTGTCTGCCACGCCTGGAAGGCACGCTGAAACTCCTCGACGGGAATGTCTCTTAGGAACGTTGTAACATGCTTTTGGAAGTTTTCTACGGACTCCCAATGCTTTCCTTTCAGCTCTCTCTTCAGACGGGGAAACAAAAAAAAGTCGCACGGAGCCAAGTCGGGACTGTAAGGGGGCTGGGGAACCACCGGGGTGTTGCTCCGGGCCAGGTAGTTGGCAACGATGAAGGCCGCGT